CGTGAATGTTTTATGCGAAATTCCAATTTTTTCGAGGTTATTTCGAATATTTATCTAGATAACATATTCAAAATACATTCCCTGAAGTTTTTATACCTTATGTAAATTTTACTTCTTAAATAAATCAATCTTGTTCTTGGGATATTAGTTATTTCTGATGAAAAACAAGACAAAGAAATGCTTTTTTTGCTGTGTGGAGAGCTTGCACTCACTTTCCTGTTATGCAAATGGCATCCTAGTGTTCTTTTTCTGATTTTCAATTTCAAACTTCATGGCTTTTTCTCAAACTAGTTTCTTAACATATCAACACTAAAAATGTAATGAGATTCTTGATTGTTTTGACAAAAAAAAAAACATGACACAGATATGCCTGACGCTACAATGATGTTGGTGTCAAAACCATTTCAATTAAATGCAATCAATACGCTTCTCTGAAAGCCTGACAAAACAATTTGAACATTTAAACACGCTGTAAATAAGATAAAGCATCTGAAATATGCGCTTGTTGAAGAGTGATTATTTCGAATGATGTTGTGATATGCAAGTGCTATTTTTGTTATGTTTTATCAGATCCCTGATAAGGCTGACATGGTTATTATAGTTACAGATCAGGGTTATTTTAGTTAACTGAAACTAAAACCATGAAAAAATTAAACTGGAACTGGAATGAAAAGGAAAAAAAGGAAACATTTCTCATTTTAATTTATTTTAACTTGAGGTTTTAAAATAAATAAAACAAAAAACGGACATAAAAATGTATATAAACTATATAGACATAAAACTATATAAAATATAAATATTTATATATAAAAAATATCAAATATATATATGACAAAAGCTAAAAAGACTAAAACTGAAAGTATCTCAGTGACACTAAAATAGCAGTGGGCTGGATTCACTTTACAGTATCTTAGTAAATATCGAGTGGCATGAAGCATTAACCATTTAGTCTTGGAAGAAAAAAAGTATTGGCATTATTTATTGACTTTTTATTTTTAGTTCCTGGCCTGTGGTTTCAGAATTTCAGAAAGTTTTATTTCTTGTGCATTCAGCAGTGCAAGTAAACGGGGCAGCTCGGTGCAACCGTCCCAAAGGGCCTCAGCAAATCAAAAGAGAAGCACTGCTTCATCCCCCCAGGACCACACACTGTGTGAGTCGGTGAGATACAGGGGAGAATTGGGCACAGCTGCATGGTCAATTACCGTTCAGAACAGATAGTAGAGTTTACTGTTATCTCACACCACAGAGACCGACAACAGGAGTGAAAGAGAGAGTGTGAGATAGGGACCGAGAGAGAGTCGCGATGATAATGATGGTTAATGCTATAGGTGTGTTAGGAAGAGACACTAAAATGGACAGGAGGGAATGTGGAGTGAGTATAGGGGAAATCAAGGAGAGTGAGCGAGAGAAAGAGAGAAAGACAGAGATGACAGAAACAGGTCAGGCAGTGCACCTCTGTGGCAATGGAACCGAACACTTGATGACGGTCACCATAGAAACAGATTATCCCTCTTGGAAATATAAATTGTTCTCATAACTGTCAGATGTTGGAGTGTAGCGGCTAGCGGTACCATTTTTAATTTTTTTTTCTGGTTGAAGCTAATGTGCGCAAACGGTCCTCCCAAATGCAGAAATGAAATTTGTCATAATGGAAGAATATGGAGTGATTATGTAAGCCGAAATCGCGGGGAGCCAGACCTGATTTCAACTTCGACTGAGACCTTAGCTTCCCCTCTCCCAGCAAACAGCAGAAAGCCTATTAAATATTTCATAAGATGAATAATATTATGTTATACTGCTAAGCCCAGGATTTGTCAGCTCAGAAAGCAGGGATTTTTTTTGTAGTAAGGGAGGATAACCGTGCCTGTGTTTGTGTGTGTGAGAGTGTGTAGGTGTGTGATAGTCGTAGGCGGCATTACGTGAGAAATAAAGAATGATCTTGACTTTCAAAAATCTATAATGTATGTTTTGTCTTGCTGGCTTTTTTATATTTAGGTCTGAGGTTTATAATGTGCACTCGGCAACCGTCTCTTTTTAGTCTGCGTCTGCTTCCTTCTGTCAGGAGAACAGCACAGCAGTCCCGGCGCTTTCTAAACACCTTCATCCAGAAGCTCAAATCCCTGTCTAGATCCTCAACAGTATCTCTCCTGCAAACATCTCAAATCTCCTCTCCTCTCTGACAAAGGACCACACTCCTACATGGAGATACGGATGCTGGTTTTCAAGGGACCGTCTTAGCAATCGCAGACGGAAGAAAAGCGCACCTTGTGTGATTTTTCAGTGTTTTTCAGTCGGCAATTGTCTTATCTTAGATTCCTTGCTATTGACTGATGTAGAACGGCGTGTTGCAAATCCGTTTGCTTGTTAGAGGGTTCATAAAAATGAGCTCTTTATAGTGAAGGCTTTGCACGCTTTAATTAAGGAGGGATGTTCGCTGGTGTGGGTGATACACAGATCTAATGAATTTCCCACAGATCTTGTTTTCATGCAACCAAATGGACCGTGAACAGACGTTCCCATGGGTGTTGCTCAACAGTAAATGTGTGTGTGTGTGTGTGTGTGTGTGTGTGTGTGTGTACGTACACCCTGTCAGTAATGCATCTATTAGTTTTAGTCACCCAACCATTATTGCACAGTACATATTTGTTGTTGCACAAAGCTTGATGTAGATTTTATAAATAAGCTGTTCCATCACCTTTTTTCACACCTTGGCTTGCTTAGTTGCGATTTAGGGGGGTGTTCACTTGTAGTTCGGTTCTTTTGGTCCGGACCGAAAAAAAAGAAAATGATACATTTAGTCCTGGTCAGGCCCGTCGGAACAGGACAGGCAAACCAAACAATTGCTTGGGGCCCCGAGCTGGACTGGGGCCCCAAGACAACGACTGTTAAAGAATAAAATGCAACGACAAACTGTGAGCGCCCCTTTGATAGTCAATGCAGTAAAGTGCAATGACACTGTTATCGGAATCCCCCTCAAGGGGGCCCCCTCAGTAGTCGCTGACAGCAGCCAGCCAACCACGCGATCTCTGCTGCCGGCAAAATACAAACCTCCTCGGGAGTTATCATGAAGCGGAATTATGCTTCAGGAAGCCAGGAAAGAAAGAAGAGAAGGTTAAGAAAAATACCAGATAGTGGTAAAGTAATACGTTACACTGCATAAAAATAGCTCTACTTGTCTTGTACAAATGGTGTAATTTTGCAGCAGGTAACATTAGGCTAGCAAAAATATGTTTATGTTAGCTACCTGCCTGACGGCAAATGCTGCTTGTAACGAACAGTTAGTGCACATTTTTTTTCGAACGGACGGAATATGGTTAACGTTACATACTGTAATATGTTTTTTAACGGTTTAAGGAGTTCCAGAATCACTGTTTATCGTATTTAATGACATGACATTGCTATAGCTAATAGTTTTTGATGAAAGTGGCATAGCATAACTATTCCACCGTGATAATCTATTTACCAATGGGGGTTAGGAAAACCACACAATAAATTCCGTGCATCAAACATTAGCTTGGGATGTTTTTAAGCATTGGTAGTGAAAGCAGCATCCCTTCCCTTCTAATATCAAAATATGGAAATGCTAACATATCTTTAAGTTTTCTGTAACACTTTATAATAACAATCATTAATAGATGGTAAATTGTTAGTTATTTAATATTTAGTTAATTGTCATTTAACTGTTAGCAAACAGTCTTTTTACTTAATAAATAATTTGTAACCTTACCCATCTATAAACATTATTTAACCTGAAAAAGGCAGAGGAACATGATTTTTTCATAGCTTATGTCACTGTAATTTTTTATTTTTTTATGCACAGTATGCAACAGCAGTATTTGCACTGTAAACCTTTTTTATTCATATAAAGTGTGTGTGTGTGGGGGGGGGGGGGGGGCTTGGGGGGCCTCCATGTCCATTTAGCTTGGGGCCCCCAAATTCCTTCAAACGGCCCTGATCCTGGTTCGCTTAGCGTTGACGCGGTCATTTTTAAAACCAAACCTAAAGATACAAAAAAAAAAACGTATTTTGTGACATAACTTAAAAAACATCCAAACCAACGCTGTATTCTGGGTTAAATGCGCTCATTGTATGTGCGAACATATGATGATATTTTATCCAGCTGAGAACTCTTGAAGAGTTTATAAAATGTGTAAAGGAGTCAAAACGGCAGCAGGAATTCCTCCATTGCACACAAACAAAGATCTGCTGCTGTACCGAGCTGTAATGGGCTCCTATGACGAGAAAACAAACAGGGTATGCTTCAGCATTCTGTGCTTTTTAGGATGTTTTTGGTTTGTTTAGATGTCTTTGGTCCTGTGGTGCGTTCCTATTTCAGTCGAACCACACCAGAGTTCTTTTGGAAGCTGACCGAGACCCATCTTTTCAAGAGAACTTGGTCCACTTGTTCGGTACGCATCAGGGTCCGGATGGATCAGTTGTTAAAATGAACCGCACTAACAGAGCAATCTCACCAGAGTTTGTTTTAATCAAACCAAACCTGCAAAGTGTGAACACCCCCTAAAAGACACTTAATATTGAGTAATATTATCAGTTTGACTACACTGGCACTATCTGATGAGAACAAAACTTGCACTGAATTGAGCTGGATGATGATGACACTATTGTCTTCTGTAGACCTACTTTATAGCTAAATCTAATTTGTTTCATAATTAACAAATTTTGCGACACTTGTTACTGAACTGAATCAACACTCGAGCTGAATAACGACAATATTGTCTTTTTGCTTATAGCTGAATTGAACTGATGAACTTTACACAGTAATTGAACTGAACCCACACTGAACTGACTTGAGCTGAATAATGACACTATGGTCTTTTTTAGAGCTGCTTTGCAGCAGAATTTGAATTTGCCTCATCATTGATTCTGTTCAATTTCCCTGTTTATTACTGTGAAGCTGCTCTGAAACAGTCTGTATTGTATAAAGGTGACATGACATTGTTTCATTCATTAAATTGGTTTCTTTTTTTGTATCTTCTTAGGTATGACATGCCAGGCTCGCACTTCGTATACGGAGGACGAGGTTCTGTGGGGTCACCGTTTCTTCCCGGTAATTTCTCTGGAGGAGGGTTTCTTCAAGGTCGACTATTCGCAGTTTCACGGCACTTTTGAGGTCCCCACACCTCCGCACAGTGTTAAAGAACAGGAGGAGAGTTTGCTCCTGTCCTCCCCTCTGACGGCCCCCTCTTTATGCCACAGCGCAGGTGGGGTGACGGAGGGCAGCAGCACTCTTGAAGGTCTGGATCTTCAGAGCGATGCAGAAACGGGCTCTATCAATATAGCAACCCCTATGCCCACCACCAAAATGCCTGCCAAATTTCAAAAGCTTACGGGACGGGACCCCCCCATCCGGGACGGCATGCCCCGCAAGCTTCTGCGCATGAGCTCGGAGATCACCTACAACCTGGGTGACCTGCCCGTCAAACTCCAGCGAATCAGCTCAGCTCCGGGTGTGGCAGAAGAGAGGCTTCAGCCAATCAGTGCCATGGAGGACAGACTGGCTCCCAAGCTGGGCTTGGTGGGCGGGACTGAACACATCAGCCAATCAGTGACAGATCTGCCACCGAAACTGCAAAGGTTGGCTGGAGGGGGGGTGGGTGGAATCGGAATCGGAGGACGAATGGATGGACATCTGCCTCCCAAACTGAGAAAAATGAATTCGGAGAGGTTCACAGGCTTGAGTTTTAAATGAACTTGACTTCTACATCTACACGTTTCGCCCATTTACCTCCTCTGAAATTGCAATCTATACTTTTAGCAATTTATATATATGGATAAAATATTAGTTTAATGCTAATCCTCTGCACAATCTGGCATGTTTTTACCGCAAACAGCATGAAAGCAGAATTCATTCAACACCTAATTACAGAGAATATAACAATATTCAACACTATTTAACAACGATTCATGATATACCTTTTATATTAGCCTGTTAGCCAAACATGTTTTGAGGGTTTGCCTATATTATGTATATCTTAAAATAGAATATCAATATAATTATCAGAATGCAGTGTCAGTATTCACTGATAATCCATGGTAACTAATGTTTTTAAAGAAGCCAATGGCTATAACCTGAGTTAGTCGTTTGGTTTTTTTAATCAGTGGATTGGTTATTGTGGTTCACAATAACACATTGAGAGATTAGTTACTGTGGTCTTTAGACTTAAAGAAATGGGCGCTGTGCATTTATGGAAATGTACCATTTTTTGATGAACCGACTCAGGTTTTTTGTTGGTTTTTTTATCTATTGCATGATCAAGCCAGATTATCTCACGTCAAAAATTAAGCCTTAAATATAAGGAGCCAAATGTAAATCGCCAATCGTAGTTTGGAAAGCTTTTAAAAAGGTTGCCACTTTTAAAGCTTTTCTTAGCCACTGTGGAAGAGTAAGGCTTTCACACAGTATTTCACATTTGGCTCCCAATACTTAACTGACTTTATATATGATGTTTTGTCAATGATTGTTTCCTGCTGTTCTCCATTTAGCAGTTTAAGCTTAGTTGAAATGTTCAAATATTTTCCTGACCTGAATGACTTGAGTATTGCGATGGGTAAGGTGAATAAAAGTGGGAGGGGGGAAACCATCAAAGACTGAAAAGAGCACAATGGATGTGTTTATCTGTTTTAATATTCTTTAAAGATAAGACCTTGTCGACATTGTTATGGCTTTGTTTATCTCTTGTGTTTGAAAACCGAAGCAATAAGATTATAAATTGCAGTGGAACTTCTGACTGGAAAAATCTCGTACTTTACGTTATGTTACCGTTAAATGGTTTTACAGTTTTCTAATTGTGTTTATCTCAATACATTCTATTCTACTTCTGACGAATATAAGAATGGCAGTTGGAGCGGTTTATAATACTGTAATAAATGTGTTGTGATGTGTAACAAGTCTATTATAAAAGGAAACAACTGAAGGATAAACCTCCACCTGAACTTTCATCACAAAATGAGTCCAAAAATGAATCAAAGCTATGGGTGGAATTGGCCATGTTCGACACATATAAGCTCATTGGTATTGGCAGAGGTCTTCCCCAAAAATAAAGCAGTTTGATCTGGTATGACCCAGCTGTGTGGATGACTGACAGCTTGCTGCCCGATGCTGCTCTTTGGAGATGCTGTTGGATTGCTTCAAATGCCCTGAGAATTCTATTCTCGTGGTTTACTATTGACTGATTTTCTATGCAGAGAAAGCTAACTTGACAAAAAAAAATGTCTGCCGGCTTTTAATCACCATTGCAGTATGTAATAGCAGAAAACTTGAACACACGCTAAATAGCTGGTCTAATAATTACTGAATTTTAGAAAACCCACACTTTGGAAATGCCACACAAAAAAGGTCACCTGTGCAATTCCCAAGTTTTCAATTATTTATAATGCTTGAGTGGAATTATAAAGCTCTTTCTGTAACAACTGGGCAGGTTTGTCCTTCCTTTCCATGTACCCCAGCAGGCTTTGCAAAATAGTGTGCCTTGCATAGTACCGTAAAGTGTTTCTCGAGTCCTAACTGCAAAAGTTAGTTTTCATCCGATACAGACATTTATTTACTTCGCCTTTCAGAACAAAATGAAATGGCGGTGTGAATTGTGAAAGAGACAATGCGAAATCTGTGTGTGAGTTACGTTAGATATACAAAGCTGCAGGGGCCCCACGCGGTTCTTCGTTAAATGAATCCCTCGATGCGACATCCCTAAGAAACATTAACACATTACCTCTCCACAGGGGACCAATATCCTGAACTTCTATCAGCAGGAAGCTAGTAATTATCTGTGTGTTTGAAAGAGAGCTGCTGAAATACAGAGAATATTATCTTGTCACTAAATGTCAGATCCGGATGAAAAGGAGTTTGTGAAGGTCAACCTGCACTGCTTAAAGAGCATTATTGCTGTAACCTGCTCATTTCATTTCAGAGAGCTCTCAGAATCTGCCATCCCTTTTAATTTATATTCCCCCGCAGCCAGACGTCAAACGCTCCTTATTTCATTTCATCAGTTCCATACTTAGAGATTTAATCCCATTATATATAAGATTAGCTAGTTAATGTTCTTTCAAATAACCATTAATGGGTTCTTAAATTGTTTCTGCTCTATGATGGTGAAAATTAAATCACTCTCATTTAGTGAACTACTTTGATGATGGAGTAGATGGAGAAAGGCTCTTACCCATTAATTATTGATAAACAAAGGCTAATCCTTTGTTAACAGCCTCCCGATCAAATCTTTGCTCTTTTAGAAATGGTTAGAATCTCCAGACGTCTGGGTCAACTGTATGTGGGTTTTTTGTTTGTTTGCGTTAGGTACATAAGATCAAAATTTAATTATTATCCTTCCCTTTTCAATAGCAATTTTACTGTTTCATTTGCACTGGACAAAAGGTCCCAAGCTACTTTCCTTTTATAACTCTTGAGGTTGGCACAGGATAGCATGTGCCACAGATAAATAATGGCTTGAGGGCTGGATGGACATGAGGGCAGTATCAAACTGTAGGAACAGGATGCTCTGTTCGTGTGGATGTTCCCTGCAGGGACAACAACGTGCTGTCTGTTCTGAGGTGTGTTTCAGCGGAAGTGTGCCATTTACCAGCTTGTTGTATCCGGGACGCTTGAGACAGTTTGCAGCAGATCACCCATCCAACACTTGTCCTATAGAAGGAAAGAGAAGAGGCTTGATTTGTATGTATATAGCCTACATATATATATATATATTACTAATTAAAGACACACTTATAGAAAAGAAGAGAAAGATTGATAGAAAATTCCATTGCTATTAATGCTGTCCGGTAGCCTGGATGCCAGCCGAACTTAGCCCCGCCCACAACATTTGAGGATGGGAAGTTCGTTCAAGTCTAGTTCATTCTGACTAGAATCTGAGTATGACGACGTCAGGCTAGCTGTCAGGTTCCAGGTTTTCAAGAATTTCAAAATTGTCTGTTAAAGAGAAAGATGTGTGATTACTATTGGCTGTTTTGAGCTATTTTAGGCAGTAGTCACTACAAAAAAAACAACCTTGAACTGACATTAAGTAGGCCTATAATTGTGATAACTACAGAAAAAATATGAAAAATACTATTCATTGTTCATGAAGCCATAATTTTATTTCTTAGTTTTTATTTGTAACGAGTACTAAATTTTGGTAGATAAAGTTGAACAAATTTCAATTCAATTAGTAAATTATAATAATAAAGTTACTAAAATAGCCCTAGCCTACTAAACAATTTTTTTTGAAGTTGTAAATAAAACAAAGATTATTGGACTGTTTTACAATTTTATCGAGTCAGCAGTTATATACAAACAATAAGGAAAGCTTCAATACTTAAGGTTGTTGCAGTAGCGGACCAGCTCACCAATCTGGCTTTCTGCCTCTGGTATGCGCACGCACCCTGTAATGTTTGTAAACAGGAAACCTGTGTATTATGGTTTCGGGAAACAGTTGTGACTAGTTGATTTCTTCAACGATGCATCGCACTGTGGTAGTGAAGCATCGAGTTACGTCGTTGTACAGGAAACGCACCCCAGACTAGATTTATAATGTTTTTTTTTTATATCAAACAAACGAATGTAATTTGGTTAGTTAAAGCTGCAGTCCGCAGTTTTTCCTCTTTGTCGCCATCTCTGTTCGAAATCTGCAATTGCAGTCATTCGCGGAATTATCAACTTTACATGAGTTGTGCCTCGGCACGGCACAGCACGGATGAATCCAATGTTTTGAGGAGAATGTGCAGCTGTCAGTCACCGCGCCGGTGTGGATACTGGCATTCAGAATCACAGATTCTACTTTTTGGAAGTATGACCAACATAAGAATTTTCACCCTAAAATGTCATCTGAACAAGTAAGAAACATCCACTTTTGTTATTCTGACCAACTAACTGAAAAAAAGCATAGCAGTAAATCGCACTGATTAAATCTAACGATCGTTTATCAAATCACGTCAAACCATGCAAATTATACTTTGTTTTCAAATTCTTAATGTAAACAACAGCATTGCGTGACTACATTTAAAGCCCTTCAGATATGTATCCTTGTTTTCACATGGGCCGGTTGCAGTCTCTTTTTTTCTGTAGCCACTCCGAAGTCCGAAGTCTTTTGCATTTTACAACGGGTGAATCTCTAGTTGTCACTGGTGATTGTTGTTTGAACCTTTCTGGATCCGCCATCAAATGAATAAGTTTAATTATATCAAGTGCTGTGAGAAAAGGTTATAAATCTCCACCTCCAACATCCTCACTCGCAATATAGCCTACTAGCCGAGACTCCTTCTTTATGTGTACAGATGTGACGTAATGACGCAAAGACATGCTCGAATCTCCCGCGGAAATCCACCAGTACCACTGGAATTAAAAACATCATTACAAGCTTACCATTTTGAATAGAGCTAAGGCAAGCAGATAGTTTTGAACACTGGCTGGTTATGTACTTGCTTTAAGATGAGACTACACTGAGACTGAGTGAACAGACTAAGGTAAGGCGTCTTGTGCATAAAAGAGAACATGATGTCTAAATTTGCTTTATTCAGATAGGGTATTAGTTAAATATTAGCCCTGGTGTTGAATAAAATAAGTTTTCTGAGGACTCCCAACCTTAAATGTGCTCTAAGCGATGTTGGGTGACGTCACTTCTTGTTGACGTTCGAAGTATTGTCAAACAAAACGGAGGCTAGCTAGACCCTCCCTCCTCCTCATCCCGTTCCCTCCCCCTGTAGTTTTACTGATACTTCATTCAAGGTGTAATGTCACCAAGTTAGATAAATGCTTTCATATAATGCAAAACAGAATGCAGAAAAAGAGAAACATTACCAGAAACACACAATAAAACGTTTCGCCACCTGAGGTTATAACTTTAGCTGCCATACAAGTGCGCAATAATTGAAAGATTACGTTAGCTACACGTTTCCCAGTGAGTATAAACAATGGCTCCGTCGTAAAACAAATTTAGTCAAAGTTGTCAATAGGCTATAAATGAACATTCAAATTCATAACAAAGAGTGGTTGAAAACAATCATTCACACAAACTGTCGCCCTACTGTGAGTTTGCTTGTTTATTTACAATAGAGATCGATGCTAGCTGCTAGAAACCTATATGTTGTATTCACCAAAGTTAGCGCTGACTGCATGGTTCTTGCTAATTATATCCTTGTGTTTGTTAGGCGAACATGAACGTCCATTTAGAAAAAAACAAACTGGATTTACCCACCTGTCCAGCAAAAACAGAGCTACCTGAATGTCGGATTGGAAGCCCTTCTCGCCACCTTTCGAAGGCTTTTCCGATGTAAATTCGGGACTTTGTGCGTTCCTTCTCCTTTTCCCTCTTCTTTGCATTTTTGCAATCTGTTCATCGGAACGTCGTCTCGTTGGTCGTGTGTCGGCCATATCAGACTTAAAGAGAATATAAATCTAACTTCCCTCTTCATGCTTCTCTCTCCTCCACACCCCCCTTTCATGTGTACGCGCACTAACCCCCCAAACCCCACCCCCAAATCCTTCTTGTCGGTTATTGGCTGGAACACTGTTTGTTATGTTTCGTGGAGCGGGTTGCCCCAGTTTGTTTTTGTTGCCGTTTGTGGAGCCTGGGGTGTCTTCAGAGACCGCGTTTTTTACAGTGTGTTCAGGGGACAGGCAGTTAGCGGATAGTGAGGTGATGTTTCCTGTATGTGACAAAAGATATTTTGGCCTAAAAAACGTGTGACATCGCTACCTTTAATATAGTCGACGACTGACTCTCGATTCACCTCAGAATCAGAGTATCAGTTCTTTTTTGCAATCAACTCCCAGACCTATAGATCCGTAGTGACTTGAAATACACAAAATACCTCTGTTCAGAGTTCAGTCGGTCTATGCCTACTGGATCCAATTTACAGTGATCCATCCATACTATAACACTCACATATTTTAAATATTTAGTTTTAAATATGCCCCTAAATGTATTAAAAAGGTTCAAGGTCTCAGTTTTTGAACATCAAAATATTAGCAACTCACAAGATGTGAGCCCACAGTCAGGATATAACAGCAACAAAGAGGCTGATACAGCTAAAAAAGCATTTGGTAATTGGAGTGAAAAATTGTGTGGGTGTTAAGGATGATCGATTTTCTGAAGCATTGTGCAATGTGTTCGCTCACCAGTTTACTCAGTGCCCGTGGGTCAAGAAGAGACCTCGAGTCCTTGACGTTAACAGAAAAGGCTACGTGTGTGATGCACCATTGTGTGCACTGGACCACTTTGATACTTACACACGATTGCGCTTGTAGAAGCTGTTCATGTGGAATCATGGGGGCGTTAAACCTTGTCGTGGCCTAACAGCAGCCCTGGCATATCTAGAGTCATGATGATAAGATCTCATCACTGTGACAGTTTATGCAACTGCCATTTCCCCTCTGCCAGTCTGTCCCTCCCCCTTCAGCTCGATCTGCTTGTTTCCCTTACCAAAAAGCGAGCGAAACCGCGTTATCACAGTTTCTCGGCACCTGCTTTAACAATTGTTATATGGGAATCACGTCCGTGTACGAGGTCGCAGTAGTCATGTCATTGGCCATAATAACATCCATTACTTCAGACTCAATCAGCGCGTCCCCGGAGACGGCAGCCCATGATTAACTGGTCTGTCACCCATCATTTGACGCGCCATTTGTCAGTATCACTCTGAGGCGCGTTGGGTAGGGTAGTACTTCAAACTGAAACATTACCGCAGAAGCCACATGCTAAGAGGACTGTGCTATGAATGTTTTAGCAGACTGCGACGCTACAACAGAAATAGAAACAGCGCCAGAGTCGAAGGCAGCCAGGCACTTGCCACTTGGAGCGGGAGACGGGAGTACAGTATGGGAGCCGTTGCTAGGTAACGCCAGAGCCCTCGCGCCCCTCTTAGCGGTGAGATGAAGGAAAGTAGATTTGCATCCGCAGTCATTATGAGCAGTAACGTCGTCATTCTTAAACATTTGTTTCATGGTAAATGTACAGACCAATTTCGAGTGGTGGAAAGATGCACGAAAAAATTCTCTTTTACTTTCGCTCTCTGATATCAGACATAATCTTGTGTTATTATTACCAATACTTTACTCCTCCAACTTGTCATTTAGTGGCGTTTCGTTAGTGAACGAATCCGTTTTGAAGCAAAACTATTCCCTCCTGCACCCGAAAAGTGTCCTCATCTTTGATACGATAGGCTACGTTTGTTTTTCAGAAGCAGCGCGCGCATTAAAGAGCTGTTCGTCGATTAAAGACATCTGCAAGTTTCGTTTTCTCCAGTGGATTTTTGATAAATATCCATATCCTCCACATTTAGCGCTCTTTTTGACGAGGTTGTTTCGGTGTAAGAAAGCGCTTAATGCTTAAATCGAATGTATCAAACTTCGTTTTGCAAACACTTTTACTGATTAAATCAAAGGAGTGATTCGTTCACGAATATGTCATTTAGTGCTGGTTCAACAGCTTATCGAATTATACAAAATGTTTTGTTGTCATTTCTCGACAGATTTCACAGTAGAATTGTAGAAACGCAAACATTAATTTGTCTTGGCCTTTTAACGAATCGGTTGAGGGAATCATTCAATGGACACGTGCATATTAAACTAACCAAAATCCCCATAACTAATATCCTCTTTGCAAAAGACTGGAACATTTTATAATGATTTGGCGCCCTCTTCCGTTTTAATCTTCTCATTGGCATGGAGAAATATTCCATTCAAATGAGTCATTAAAAGATTACAATTTAAAATCGTACTATTTAATCTGTTTAGAAAGCCACCCATAGGGCCTATATGTTATGAATTATCTCTGTGCCTGGTAATTTTTAGTTTGTACATCGACTGGCCTAATCCAGATATAGTCTTTTAAGTGTCATCACAGTGTTTTCTTTGCGACACAAAACCTTGCAAATTGCTGCTGACAGTACATTGAAATAATGAGTGCACAAAAAGTCGTGGTCATAGCAGTTTTAATTCACACATTTCAAATAAAACAAATAGAATTTCTCTTACACATTGTCTACACACACGCCCACATCCAAGCACTTAAGTAACAAAAGTAAACATGTCAAGACATAAAAATACCTTGAACAAAGAAGAGGACCATAACATTTTAATAGGTTATAATAAACTTTTTTTTTTTGTTGACTTGATACATTCAGTGAATAAGTATAAAAAGTATATGAGACGACCCTCTGTGTGCAAGGATATCTGTCAGTATGCCTGTTGATAAAAGCAGCATTATCCGGTACAACGGCAAGTCTACCCAAACCACAATTTTACATCATTATTCGTTTTATAATGACATTGAATCAAGGTTATACTTAACTGTTCTCTTTAAAAGCTTAACTGCCCAAACATGATTTCATTATTGGTTCAGTTAGATATACTGATATAAAGATATTTTCTGGTGTGGACATAAAAAGAGGCTTTCTTGGAAGCCGCTTTGGTAAGAAAGCATCAGCAAAGAACATAAATGGGAAAATGCAAATGTAGACTTGGCATGACATGAGGGTAAAGGCATCATAACTACTCTTTAAAAGCCATGACAAGATAACCAACTATAGCTTTACACCATTTATTTCCCACAACTGCTATCACTTCAGCTAAAGGCCTTACACAGGAGCACATCGAACACTCAGAATCAAAGTTTAACACTGAGTAACTTTACGGTAATGTGAGAAGGTAATTACTTGCGTGAGGATTCAAAAACGGAATAAATGCCTCTAAATATTTTCAGGGGTGTATTTTTGTGCACTCACAGGTTTTTACTAAGTGACAACGCAAAGTGTAATTTAAGTTGATTTGCAATACACTAATTATAAAGGTGTTACACAGCTTTTATGGCAGGCACTTACACTTAGAGCAAGACCCCATAGTTTAACGGCTACTAAAAGCACAAACACCATCTGCCAAAACAATGAGCTTTTTAATCATCACACGGGACAAAATAGTGATACAACCATGACACCTTTCTCCTTGTGTTTGCCACTGACAAACTTGCCCATTACCTCTAAACGAGAACCACATTTTCACCAGTTACCACACATTTTCACTCATCAATAAAACTAGTTGTGCAGACTGCTACTCTATAAATATATTAAATATGTGTTTAAGGATACAAGTGATATTAATGGCTAAAATCCATCTATGCTTGCTTTTTGAAAAAAGCAACTAATTTACGCCAACAAGGAAATTTATTGCTTGATGTTCTTTCTTTGTGAGGGAAAAAGATGCAGAGGACTGAGGAGACAAACACAATGACCCTGACATTTAAAAAAAAAAAAAAAAAAATCACCTGCAACATGTTCCCTGAACACTGACTGTAGCAAATAATTGGTTCTGCCTGCAGTTCAGGCCTGGTCCATAGGGTGCGCCGTTGTACTGTGGTGCGGCTGTAAGTCTGCTGGGATCCCACAGTGATTGAACAGTGGGGGGAGAAGGTGCTTGGTTTGGGACGTTGGTGATGAGGGTGTGGATGCGGGTGTAGAGCGAGTGACGGGGACAGTTTGGCTGCTCTGATGCAAAGCAGAGAGGGCCGAACTGGGCTGACAGAGGGCTGAGGGCACGGGGGTCATTGGCGTTGAGAGGGCTGTGGACATCAGCAGGCCGTCTGAGGCAATAAGGCTGTGAAACTGTGAGGAGTCGCTGAGGGGAAGGGCGAGAACGCCCCACGAGCCATGAGAGATGTCCTCGTCCTTGCAAAGGGGCAGATCACTCAGATCTGCTTTGGAGTTATCCATCTTAGCTAGGAGATGAGGTTGTCTCTGTGTGTATGTGCTGTCTGTGAGATGCCCCACAGAGGATGGAGGAGTCAGAGGGGGCTGTGGTGATGGAGGTGATGGGGGGAAAGCGTCTTCAGAGGTGGGGAGCAGACTGGGGTCCAGCTCCAGGCTAGAAAGGGTTTCAGCAGATAGCCGCGCACTCAGTAGATCCACGACTCCCCCCGGCAAGCTACGACAATCTACCCCTTCTACGGGACCAAGCTCAGCCATTCCGCTTAGACATGCAAGGGATTCTGGGTACGAGCTCATGGCCTGCAGAACGCGAACCAATTCCTCGGCTTCCTCAGAGGTGGGCAACAGCTCACTATTCTTACCTATATGACCTATGTAAACAAAGTGAGAAAAGAAAACAGCAATTACCAGAAAAAGAATAGACATAGAAAGTATAAAGTGTATAAGGGTAAAAATATAAATTCTTAAAATCCCAATCTTTAACTCTGTGCCTGAATAACTCTTTTTCCTGCAGCCCCACACAGCAAATGAGATCATATTTATCCCAAGTTTGCAGAAAAAAAACACACAAAATAAAATAAAAACTGCACAAGATAACAGTGAAACCAGTGTAAATCACGGACAAATGACACTTTCTGTCATCTTAATGAATCAGTCAAATTAATCAGACAAAAAAATGTATCAGTCGGATGGATCCTTCACTAAATTAAGTTATAGTGATGGAATATTTAAAAAAAATTAGTTCCAAATATAATTTATTCATCAACGATGCATTAAATTGATCAAAAGAGGCAGTAAAGACATTTATAATGTTACAAAGAAAATCCATCTCAAATTCAAATGCTGTTGAATTTTACATTCAGCAAAAGAATCATTATGGTTTCCACAAAAAAAAATGAAGCAACAACTGTTTTCAAACATTGATCATAATAAGAAATGTCTCGAGCACCAAATTAGCATAGAATGATTTCTGAAGGATCTTGTGACACTGAAGACTGGAGGAATGATGCTGAAAGTTCAGCCTTGATCACAGGAATACATTACATTTTAAAATATGTTAAAACAGAGAACCGCTTTATTAAATTGTAATCAAATTTCACAATATTACTGTTTTTACTGTATTTTGCAGCCTTGGTGAGCATAAGAGACTTAACTTAACGTCCCCAAACTTTTGAACAGTAGTGTGTGTGTATTATATATATATCGTAATTTATGTATAATACAGTGATATATTATACATTAAGTGTTAATGAGTTTATAATTTTATGATAACTTTTTAACTGCATTTATTGGGCCCTGTTATACTATAATTTTAATTTCCTTCAAAAATGAATAAATTAATGAATAAATGAAATATAGCAAAATAGACATTATAACTGAAATATACAGAAATGAATCAGAATCAAATCAAAATCTAATAATCTGGATCAATACCCTAACCCTTCCATAATATTATAGCACTTTTACCTTCAAAAAGATCAAAGTCCTGCAGGTCATCCGGGAGTCGAGGCAGAACATCGGAGAAATCCTCCTGATTCAACTCTAGGTCATGTGGAATGTCACTGATGTCATTGGTGATGTCATCTGGAAATTCATCTGCACTTAAATCAGGAGTTAAAGGGCTCCTGAAAAAAACAAAGACAATGAGTGCGCATTCACAGACATACGCAAATACACACATACAAACACACTCGGCTTTCACCTTATGCCAGAAGGCTGAGTGGGCAGGCACAAAATGGAAGGCATTCCCAGGTTACCCTGGGGTAGCGCAGGAGGAATGGGTTTCTGAGGGCGCTTTGGTGCTCCTCGCTTGCCTTTCTTCTTATGCTTCTTACTGAGTGCTGGAGGCTTGGCTTTCTTCATTGGCCTGTGCCGCTGAATCTGCTGGTGGTGGTGGTACGTTCTCCGGCTGATATCACCTCGCAGGAAATTGTCCTGTGAAGTACCATTAGTGCACATATGGTTAAATGAGTTACTAGCAAAAAGTTTATTACGCAATGAAACAGTCTTCTGTTTCTCACCATTTTCTTGGCATGCTCATCACAAAGTGGTGTCTGGTGCGTGATGTCAAAGACAGGGATGGAACACTGAGCTCCATCTGCAAAGCGAGCAGTGCAGCTTGAGAACAGCTGCTGTGAACGGTTCTGAAGGATATCTACAGAGTGCCATTAAGGACACAACACAGAGAACGATCCAAAGTCGATCGGTCAATCACCAAAGCAGATGGTTAGTTGAAGTCACAGGAAAAATTGCTCTGAACAGCCAAAAGCAGTCAGCTATTGTAAAGAACTTTGAGAGGATACGTTGAAAGCAGTGCCTGGTGAACGGTACGGCTGAATTTCTGCAGTCTTCACCTTTCACGATAGCCAAGCATAAACCTGAGTCATCTCCAGCCATTGGTACTGCCGTGCTGTGGAATTAAAACAAGAAAACAAACTACTGCAACATGAAAGCATGTCGAGCACATCAGGGGTGTAGATCGGACGTTGCATCACAATACATGATAGATCTGGTATTCTTACCAGATCTACTCTTAGCCAGCAACACGATATTATCTGATATCTCAAATCTTGAAGAGATACTATTAGGATAGGAATTGATAAGATTGCCTGCGATTGAAAAGTTACTTCTTTTTTTTTAAAAGAAGACCTATTATGCCCTTTTACGAAGTCTTGATTTTGTATTTGTGGTCTACTAGAAAAGGTTTTCATGCTTGAACGATTAAAAAAAAAAATCACATATTTTATACTGTTGGAGTATATTCTCCAACATGTTCACATATTCTCTTCCCAGTTTGTCAGTATCGCTCTGTTAAATTTCTCTCTCTATGAAGCCCCTCCTTCCAAAATGTGCTCTGATTGGTCAGCTGGATCAGTGTGTTGTTATTGATCAACCAATTCGAGCATGTTTCGGAAATGTCACGCCCCTTTCCATAACAGCATTAGGCCTGGGGTGGAAAAACACACTACAAACACAACTCAACCAGGCCTCGTCCCATTTTTTTGTGTGTGCCTCTGGCGGGAATTATTTACATGCGGAATATTGTGACGTCTATGTTCCTGGAAGAAAACTCAAAGAGTACGATTGAAGCGTTTCAGAGTTTACTGATGTAGATAATAGCTCCCTTTGGACTGGACTTTGTAACTTTGCAGACCTTTTTTTATGCTCAAACAGCAACATTACACACTAAAGAAAGTTGAAAATGTAAACTTGTAAAGCATAATAGATCCTCTTTAACTCAATTAGAAATGAAGCCAAAATATAACATGAACTTTCAACAATAAAATGAGGCACTCTAGTTGTTGAAAAGTTATTGATATTTTATGCATCGCATCAATACATCATATAGCATCAACACATAATGTATTGTTACACCCCTAATGCATGTGGGGTTTTTTACCTGGAGGGTGTGGAGGTCTCATTATGTTGTTCCTGAATAAGCTGTGCGGTGTGTTGAGGTTCCTCTCTTGCTGCCTGCAGCAGGGCTTTACGAAGGGCATGCTGGGATCTTCTCTCTCTCCTGAAGCCCCTCTGCTCCCTGCAAAGGTGCGTGTGTTTTTGTCTCAGGTATGAGCAGAAGCCTGTCAAACGCTCAGCACGGGAACTGCTGGCACTGCGAGACGGGAAAGAGATTTCTCTAGATCAGCAGTTTTCAAACTGTGGGTTCCGATACACTGGTGGGTCACAGAGTGGAAATAAGCATTCATATTCATGCCATGGATTTAAATAGGCAAATGCTTACGAGTCAATGATTGGATCATTAATGCAGTGATTATGTTTCTAGCATGTTATGTTTGCCAACAGTTCTTCTAACCCTAATTGAAGGTGCGTGTAGCTTTTCACTTCTTAAATAACCATGCTGGAAGGAACATCAAGGCCGTATTCCAGGATGACAATGTCAAGATTCATCAGGCTCAAATTGTGTAAGAATGGTTGGGAAGGAGCATGTAGAATCATTTTCACACATGAATTGGCACCTCTGAGTCCAGACCTTAAATTCATTGAAAGTCTTTGGGATGTGCTGGAGGAGACTTTACAGAGTGCTGGACTCTTGCATTGTCAATACAAGAGCTTGACCAAAAATAGATTTTTGGTATTATAAGATATTTCTTATTTTATTCAACCCTTAATTCTAGAGCTGCATAAAAGCGCATTTTATAATGAATAAATATATTGTATTACGTATACATTTGTATTTGCAGTATGCCAAGTTCTAAAATATTTTATCGGGTAGAAATTAGTAAGTAGTTGATATTATTAATGAATCCTTATCCATAATGAACAACTGGAAAAGTCATGTAAATTCTTAAAAAGTGTGGGAACATTCAGAACATTCAATTTCTGGAATCTTGCAATTTCATTTACAGAATCTAGGAATATCGAGCCTTTAAATATTGTTGTGGACAATAGGGGGCTTGGAAAAGTTTAAGTAAAAGTTTAAGAACCACTGCTCTAGTTTTTACCTTCCAAAAATTACTTTAAAAGATCACTGAAACAATTGAAAGTTATATTTGTACTTTACTCTTTTGTGTGAAAGGGTGATATAAATATTGATTTGAGAATATTTTTTTCTATTATGTGAGAAAGAAGCCGTGGAGTGATACAAAAAGTTGCAGTTTAGCAGTCATTAAAAAAAAATTAGCTGCAGAATACGACAATTGACCAATCAGAATCAAGTATTCCAGAGATCCGCATTATAATATGGGTTAATCTTTGCGTTTGGCATTAAATTAGGTGGAGGATGGATGATTGTCAGACTGATGGATTACTGTACCTTTCCTCAAAGTGCTTCTCTTGTAGTCTCTTGCATTGATATGACACTAGCTTCCCCAAGTCTCCATCTTCCTCTTCACTGTCTTCTGACCAATCAAGCCCTAGAACACAAGCTGTGTTTGTCATTAAAACAAATTAAAGCCAAACTAATTTTTAAATGTCGAAATTACCTACCTAAATGTGGGTTCAGGTCTTGGTACCTCCCCTTGTGTTGGTCCATCAATCTATGGAACTTCTGCAAACATGGAGCTTGTTGCAACCGCATAGCAACTGAGCGCACTTTTATTAATTGTCCATGTATGTCATCACGGCTTGGTGCCATCCCTGAAACTGCAGGGGCAACCTTTTTATCAAACGCATGATTGAGGTCCAGTTTAATTTTGTTATCAGTTGGAGCCATGTCTATTGAGCCCTGATGGCTGTCCGGAAGTGTGGATGAGGTTTTGAATAATGGACCTGAACGAACTGCAGGGGTTTGTAGGGTTGCTGCGTTAGGGGAGGAGGGAACTATGGGTGTTTGTGTGGTTCTTCCAGTCTGCGGAGGAGGGAGGCAAGAGTGTGGAAGGGTTGAAGAAAGAGCGGAGGTTCTGAGATGGTTTGGGAACGCTGGAACACTGTGATCTTGCTGTTTCTGCTTATGGTTCAGAGCTTGGTTTTCTTGGGGTTTCTTCAGGAATGTGCCACTTGATTTTAACATTTTTTCTCCCCTGCAAAAGGCGAAGGGATCTGAGGGGAGTAGACAAGCCAAGGAGGGTGGTGGGGATGGAGGTAAAAGCTCGAGACCGTTGTGAGTTTTCAGAGCCAGGGATGGAACAGTAATTTTGAGGGCCAAAGACTCAATGGTATCTTGTTTCTTCTTTCGCTCCTTCTTGGGGAGGACACCCATAACCTGAAGGTGACTATTACAATACCTAAAAGACAAACAGATTGTTTTCAGTTATTATTTTAAACATGCACATCTTTTCTTTAAACATTTGTTAATCCATAAACTTACTTGCGGTCGTGAGCCTTGGGTATTGGGTTGGTGCAGCGCTGGTTATTGTACTTGGCTACATATTCGCACTGCCTGAAGGGAGCGGTCCGGTCCTCGAGCACATGGCGGATGCAGAAAGCATAACCATTGAGCCTGCGTTGCTTGCAAAGCTTTGGACTGTATGAACACAGAGGCTTGTGGTCCACCTCCGAGTAGTGGATGTGTTTGCCTTCATACATCCCAGGGCTGGAACTCTACGGAACATCAGCTGATGAAAAAAAACAAAAAAAAACACGGTATGTGATTGTGATGAAAGTATTGAGTCAACTACCAAAAGTCAAGTTCAGCTTCTTTTGGAGTGCACGAAGAACAACTGGTCAATGAGACATTCACTTTAAATCAAAACTGAAAATGTGCTCAGTTTGAAAATGTGCTCAGAATTCAGTTTCTAAATTACTTAAATATGACTTATTTATATATGTCTATTGTTGTACAATTAGGGTATAAAATGCACTATACTTTTAAGGCTGAAATACACTACATGACTTTTGCCCAGATTTTCCAACCATTTTGCAGTTTGGAGAACTCGATGTTAGTTTTCATTCTGCAGATTTTGGGCAGTTGGAGTTGTTTTTTTTTCTCTCCAGATTTCTTACGTTTTTTTAGCTTCAGACGATATTCCATCTAGACGGAGGATATCAAACATCTCTGATATTTTGATTTTTAACATTTGTTCACATTTGTCATTCGTCTCCATACAACGAGGTGCATGTTTCTGCATTTGTTTTTTGTGTTCGGAATGACTTTAAAGTCTGGTAATGTGTGATCCTCAGTCAGTTTCATGTGATGCTCAGTTTTTCTCTGTAATCATTTACAAAGTCGGCAAGTGTATAATGGCTAGTGCTTTAAAATCTCTTCCGTGTAGTCTTCCAGCCTTTACTGTAATATTCATTTTATTGATCTCAATTGCAGGAAGCTCCAGTTTCCCCTACAGCTCTCCTAAACAGCATAGTTTGCAGAGACATAATGATAATCAAACCTCTCAGCTCTTCCATTATTATTGTGCTCCTTCAAAATGAGTTTCTAGCACTCATTAATGTATACAAAATTATTAATGTTATGCATCTGTACTGACTATACATTACAAACAATTATAATAAAACCATGAATATTAAAATGACACGCTCGCTTATCGGTAGGTCAATTTAAAATAGCTTTCAATATGTTGCAGTCACTTCCAACACCTAACAAATCTGAACTTTGCATTTTAAAGCACTCATGAAAGTATGCAGTGTGTAGGCTGCTCAGCATAAACAGCTCAAACCATTAAATATTAAAGTGACAGGAAGAAGGAAAAGTAGCCCCTGTTTCAAGCAATCAATGACACTTGAGAAAAACAGCTGGTGTAAGCAGAGCTTTAAGCAGGTGAAACACTAAATCATAAAACGATGGCTCGTAAAAGTGTTTGGGCAGAGTACAATACGTTTGACATGCAAAGCAACTTTGAAAACGCAAGGGGACGGTGGACAACCCGCCTACTACTCTATCATGTACTTGGGCAGCACTATCAGTTACTTTTGAGGCAAGGATTGAGCAAGTTGGGTGTAGCGCCTGAAGAAACAATTTAATTCTTTTTCCGAAAGATACGGTCAAAATCAGAGCGGGAGGATGCATTTCTTTGTTGCGTCGTACAAATATTTTCGAACGTATTTTGAAACTTTGTACCGGTCGTCGGAATATTTTTTATGTGTGAGAAACACTCGGGACCGATAATAAGCAAAATACCTGTCAAATGAGAATAAGCGTTGTCGACGACCGGAGACATTTTAAAGTTTCGTTTTATTTATTAGTTAAATTTTTATTAGTTTCGTGAGTTTACGTTTTAGTAATATTACAATAAAATTTATATCAGATACACATTTTGACGACAAACATTCCTTTATTTCTGCGCAATTCGTAGTTACCGTTGGCCTGTGAAACTTCCCGAATCCCCCCGAGTCGAGTAGCGAGACACCCGCCTTGCAGTGCGTGATAAGCGGTCTTCCGCCTTTACTTGAGTCCGTTGCTTCCCGGCAGCAGCTCAGCCTCCGATCACTGCGGCCTGTGCTAAACTAGCTACGCTGATCTTTTCATACGGTCGACGGCTATTCCTCTCAGCGGGGATATTCCGCCTCTACCTTTCCATGTAACGCTAGCAGATTTCGTTTTTTAACGCGTGGATATAATTTTGCACGAATCCTACTGGCACATCTTTGTCGATTAGTTAAATAAAACTAGCCGTACACAAAGAGAAGGGGGTGTTGGTTTAGTCATCGGATGCGAGGCTTCTTACAGCACAACTACAGGCACTGGGGGGACATGACAACAGCCAACAGTGCAACAACAACCTCTGCAACCATTTTGGAATTCAACTTTGTATGTTCATTGTCGGCTTTTAGAATGATGACAGATCTCGCAAACACACAATACAGATTGAACATTTGTGTGTCCAGCTGTCAGAAGTGTTCGGACCAGCGTGAAGTTTTATTTAAGCCGCAGTCATTGATTTCAAGTTTTGAGGGATCTCCCCCAAAGTCTTTTCCGACAGCCTCCTCTCACGCGTCTCATCCATGCCTGGAATGACATCACCAACTTCAAATTCAGTGCAATCTCACGTGCGACGAAAACATTCTTGTCAGTCATATTTTCCCTTCGTTGCCATCAATAAATAGTATCAAAGTGACGAGACTTGTGATTTAAACTCTGAAGCAGGTGTTACTGGGTGTAAAGATATTTCGAAGTGTCTTATGTTGCCCCCTATTCAGTCAATGATGTCAGCATGATCCTAACTTAGTAGCCCAAAAAAGTACAGTATAACTCATGATAATCCATTACTTTATTAATATAAATTAATTTAAGATTTATCCAACAGATAGAGTTCTCTCAAATTATAAGTATAATTTCAGAGCAAAAGAGGCTTTAACACTGCACTTAATCCAACATTAAGAAGGAAAACCAAACAAGATGCTTATTTTAGAAAGCAATTGCTCCTTTCCTTACACTTCCATCCTAGCTTCTAAATGAACAAAATATTGTTCTACTACCCCCTTACTTTAAAGAATTTAGACCAGCAATGTTAATGGCGACAATGGTATATTGGTATAATACATTTTTATTTATTGTAATAAGAGCTTTCCAAAACAAAGCAGACTTCATTTAACTTAATCATGGGAATGAAAACTTTACAACACCCTTCAAAGCCTAAATATGATAATTTCACACATTTTGCTGCTCTGGTGAAGTCTGACTATGTAAGACACAGCATACAAACAGCAAAGTAATGCTAAAATCCAGGTATGTGTTTGTACATGTACTTGACGATGACTACTTTTGTGTGCATTACTATAGATAGATTGGTGTGCCTGAAGGAGTTTTAACAAATTGAAGGCTCATCAACAGCTGCTGCTCCCTCGGTCACAGCCTTCACACACTTGGCCATTGTCTGAGAGGCTCTGCTTATGGGGTCTATAGAGAGTAGAAGACAACCAAAGGCAATGGTAAATGGAAGGATTAAAGACATACACTAGGTTACAGCATTCTATTCAAACATAAAAACGTAAAATAACTCATTAAAACAACATAATATATTTGTTACTCTAGTCTCTACCTGTCATGTAGAAATCCTTCACTGTGAGCTGAGGAGGGACAATAGGAGCCGCAAGCAATGACTGATTCACAGCCTAAGGAGAACAGAAGAACATTATGAACTGTTCAAGTAGTGGAGATTTAAAACAAAAATTGACATGAAAAAAAGAACACAAACCTTTGAAAGCTCATGGGCTTGTTTGAAATAATTGGCTTCCTCTACATCATCATATCTCACCAGGTTAGGAGAGACCTCTTCCAGCCTTCTCCTTACCTCATCCAGTGTGTCATACGGCAGTGTGACTCCTGCCAGCTGAGCAAACAAAAACAAGAATCTGTACTGAACAGTCTACACTTTCTTCTAAAGAATAGCTCAGCAAAGGTATATGAGGAACAGGTTGTACGTTGTTAAAAGTACAGGTTAAGGAGCATACCTCAGAAACGGCACGCAAAATCTTCCAGTCCTCGCGTGCAATACCAGGAGCAGTGACCGCCACTCTAGTCTGCTGGGCACGACCCTCTGTGTTGACGTATGTGCCAGTCTTTTCAGTGTATGCAGCACCAGGCATGATGACATCAGCCATGAGTGCACCTACATCTCCATGGTGACCTGGATAAGCATGTGGTACCATTAAACTTATAAGAATATACGTATAAGAATCTTCTGTATTTGGATGCAAGCCACTTGCTATGAAATTGCGGTATTAAACAAGAGTATAGAGCTGTGGTTTCTCTCCGCTCTCCCTCTCTCTTATCTGCCATCAATCTGAGGTCTGGGAGTCTTAAAGGTTCACCCAAAAATGAAAATTCTGTCATTAATTACTCACCCTCATGTCGTTCCAAACCCGTAAGAATTTCGTTCAACTTCGGAACACAAATGAAGATCTTTTTGATGAAATCTGAGAGCCTTCTGTCCCTCCATTGACAGCTACGCAACTGACACTTTGACGATTAAAGAAATCGTAAAACGAATCCATATGAATTGAGTGGTCTTAAGAAACACGATCACTTCACTTCACGATTCATGTATAAACATTCATCAACTCGCACATCAGTTGTGGTAAACAGAAACTCAAGCATGGTCGCTTGACTTGCGAGAACCAATGAGATTCATTCTCGTGTTTAACGCAGCATGTTTGAGCTTCCGCAAGAACCAATGAGGTTCAGTTGAGCTTCTGTGTATGGTCACTGATCAATGTTGTTTATATGTGAATAAAAGACTAAATTAAATCTGTTCATCATATAAAGCGATCAAGTCTCCTTAGAAAATCTGGACAAAAACCACTCAATTCAAATGGATTAATTTTATGATCTCTTTATGAACTTTTTGTTGTGTAGCGGTCTACGGAGGGACAGAAATCACTCAGATTTCAACAAAAAGATCTTAATTTGTGTTCAGAAGATGAACGAAAGTCTTACAGGTTCGGAACGACATGAGGGGAAATAATTAATGACAGAATTTTCATTTTTGGGTGAACTATCACTTTAACCCTAGGCTGATTTGTTGAATCAGGTGTGTTTGATTAGGAGACAGACATCTAAAATGTGCAGTGCTGAGGGTAATCAAGGACCAGGGTTGGGAATCACTGGTATAGAATACAAAATTTGCAAGAGAGGTTACTGACCCTGGTAGATGATAAAGCTGTCTTTGGGAAGATCTGCTCTGGTGATGCAATCAGCATCGGCTCCCAGGAGAAACAGTACTTTGGGAGGGTTTTTACGGATGGCATCAACCCCAGGCTTGTAACCCAGGTCCAGGGCTGCAACTTGACTGGCCACCCTGAGGTCACACATTTATATGACAAGGTCAGTACTTGTGCCAAGCAAAAGGTCAACATACACAATTCTTTTGTTCACACATAACAATATATGATACTCAAAGAAAGGTCCACATATCCACACACACTTATGGCAGTATCTGACCTGTGCAGCACATTGAGAACCTTCCATCCCTCCTCAACACCGCTGATGGCTCGAGAATTTTGTGCAATTGTGGACACAGCCTTAAAGATGGCTGCCCCATCATCCCTCTGGAGAGCGGAGCTACCCACCACTACAATGGGCTTTTTGGCCTGGGCTAGGACCTGAAATGCAAAACCATACTCCATCAGAAGTTAACTCTTGAATGAGAGAGAACTGATGTCATGCTTCGTAAAAACTTGAATCAAAGTTCCCAGTAAACACCAACATTATTATATAATGTTACCTTGCAGAAAGGGTGTGTTCCATCAGCGATCTCTTGCAGAACTTGTGTGGTTTCACCCAGATGGTTGTAACTGTAGCTTAAGTCCACCTTATGACCAACCATGGCCACCTCGAGCTCATTATGCAACCAACTGAAGAATGGGGATAGAAAGAAAAAGCGGGGTGAAGTGAAATGACACCTGCTCAACTGGTTCCAACTATTGCAAACAAGAGTGTGCAATGGTTTTACCTCTTGCGGACACGTGAATTGAAGAGAGGTGCCTCGTAACGTGGGTTGGTTCCAATCAGAAGCAGAAGGTCACACTCCTCAATGCCAGTGATACGGCTGTTCAAGAGGTAATTGGAGCGCAAGTCGGTTCTAAGGAGCCAAAAGAGCAAAATTTGTTTAAATCTGTAATAGTAAGATTAAAGAGATAGTTCACCAAAAAACTGTCATCAATTAATCACCCGCAATTCCTTACTCGTAAGACTTTTGTTCATCTTCTAAACACTAATGAAGATATTTTTAATGAAACCAGAGAGGTTTCTGTACCTCCACTGAAAGTCCATTACACCAAAATGTAAGCTTCAACAAGGTCATAAAGATATCGTACTCTTTATAAATTGAAGCTCAAACGTTCTTTTTTGACACGCGTAAACTAATGAGGTTTGTTCTCACATGTCAAAAAAAGTATATATGAGCTGCCAGTGACCATATTTGTGTTCATAAATGTGTATTGATGAATGTTTATATGTGACTATAAGCTTAAATTAAATATATTAAAAAATTAAATAAATCTTGCCAAGACCTGGATTAAATAGCTTGATACATATGGATTACTTTCATGTACTTTTTAAAGGTTGAAAGTTTTGGTGGAATGAACTTTCAAAAGGAGGGACAGAAATCTTTCAGACTTTCATTAAAATTAAACGAAAGTCTTATGAGCTTGGAACGACATGAGGGTGAGCAATTGATGACAATTTACATTTTTGGGTGAACTAACTTTTAAGCCAATAAGCACCTTAAATATCAGGACCATTAATAACTCTAAAAACTTTATTTTAATGTACCCTTGTTACAATATAATATACAATAAGTACTGAGTAATAGTTAAAATGTACTTGCTATATAATTAGGTTTAGGGTTACTTGCTTTCCATTATGCATAATTTACTGTTATTACTATAGCAGGTACATGTAAGATGTGTTACAGGGACATTGAAAAATAAAGTGTTACCTAAAACAGTTGCTAAGGTGTTGAAAGATCTAAGGGTTTTCAATAACAACCTGTTTTACTTTAAGAATGCAACCATACATTCATGTTTTATTTTCTTTATTATTTTAAAGATAAAATAATATCAACTTATACAGTTGTCATTGATTTATCATTTATTCATATTCTTGTTATTATTTGATTTACATTATTTATTCATTTTATTATTATTTTATTTTATGTTTTTATATTACTTATTTCCTTGCTCTTGCAATGCTTGCTATTGTCGTTAAATCTTACGATTGTGTGGTTTAAAGGGATGTTTGTCTTCACTAGTAGGAGATAAGAGAATGTCTCCATTTCCAAGGTCAATGTTATGAAGCAATAATTTTCCATTGGTATAATAACACTAGTTGGAATCGTACTGGTTAGACGAAGTCAGAGCATTGAGTAGTGTAACATCTAGATGAAGTCTGAGCTTTGAAACATAGGCAACTAAGATTATTCAATAAACTCTGCTTTTTTTATTATTACTTCGTCTACTGCTTCTTCTCTTCCCTGTCTTTCTTAATCAAACTCTCAGGCTGATAGAAGGCTTTTAATAGAGTCTTGAGGAAAAAGATAAGACATTCTGTTGACAGGTTTTACTGGGTTGC